AAAAAAAAAAAAAAAAAAATGAAAACAATAATATTATGGAAGAAATAAAGGCAAACACTCTAGACAGGTACCTCATCGTAATTTCTACTTTGTGGCATTGCTAACAGTTTTCAATTCGGTTCCAATTCTCAAAGTGTCACTGATTTGGGGGGAATGCCTCATTGATTCTGCAACTTCAAGACACCAGCCCCCCCTCCCCCCTTCCCCCTCTTGAAAATTCCTGTATCCGCCCCTGACATCGGTTACTGACGATGGACAAAAAAAACTAAAAGCAAAGATAAGTAACTAGTACCAAACTTGGTCAAGTTGCTACTAGTTTTAGTGCTGTCAAAAATGGTGCCATTTTCTTTTTCTTTAACCGATCATAGAAAGCGCAGTGATGCAATGGTTCAAAACTGGGAAAATAGTAGCATAGAAAGGTGCGAAAGGATTTTAAAGGTACCCTGAGTGACAGGTGATAACTTAATCTCAATCGCTAATTTCAGTTTTTCGTGTTTTTTTTTTTCCGTTTCGTTAATTGTTTCAAAAAGTCCTCTCAGGTGACAAACACTGGATCGATCACAAGGTATTAACATAAAGAGTACCACTGGTGTGGGATAAGAGTTTGCATGGAAACTAAATTCCACTGCAAAACAAAATTACTTTTCCTTGGTAAGCTTCGAATAAAACGAACACAATTATTAAAAACCTTACATCTTGTGTTTTCCCGACCTTTGCCGGTTTTTTCGCTTATGAGAATGTTAAGCTTCTTCGGACCTTTGTGGACGAGTTTCTACTTTTACAGCAGAACATTAGACAGTACAATACGCTTTGAGCCTAGTCTTCTAAGGAGTAATGTAACGTAACTGCTTTCCCTCCTCCAAGGCCCCACCCATGAGATCGAGAGGCGTTCCGATCCTGTGTTATGCAAAATCATTAACATTTTGCTTGTAATATGTGCAAGTTTAAAATCAAAAGTGCATAGCTAAGAACTAGTAACAAGGTTTTTAAACAAAATGATTTAATACCGCTGCAATGGGGTGTACCTCACACCCACGCAGGTGACTGGGAGAGGTTAGGAAATTAATGATTGAATTGCCGAGGAAGGCACAACATACTTTAGCACCGGAAATCCTAAACATGGCTTTAAATCACTTGATCCTACCTATCTTTTCTACACCCACTGTCTTTGTTATCAAGTTAACATTCTTCTACACTCAATAAAGCAACTTGGAATTTTCTTTGTTTACCGAGTTAGCATTCTTTAACACTTTTAAAAATAGAGTATCACGGAATTTTTTGTTCCAGAGGTAAGCTTGAAAAGGTTCACTAATATCGTACGTCACACAAGGATTGTGACGACTTGTTTCGAGGAAGATGCTACTCAAGCAGTTTCGAAACTAGTCTAAACTTGGTTCCAGTGCAACCTCTCATGAGACACCGCTTTTAACAGCGTTTCAATAGACCGGTAAAGCCCTCTTTACAATATCGATAGCTATATTTATCTTTGAGGCTCGAGTGCTAGCAAGGTGTGTTTGTTGACCTTACTTGTGCGATATGTTTCCGTTTGTTCTTAACGGTGGATGCTAAACTATTCCAGCTGAGAATCGAGCATTTTTTCCACGAAAATAAATAAGAAAGAAAACGTTGGGAGCAAGTCGCGCGCGTTCTAAAAATCGCAACAATTAGTAACGCAATGCGGTCACGCTTACAGACTGAAGCCACCAAACTTGTTTACAAATACCTGGCGTATGATGAATCCTGTTTGTTTAACCCGTAAGCTCCCGATCAAACATTCTAAATTCTGAGGAATCAATTAAAAATTTAGGCAAGGAAAGTTTTGATATTTTGTTTTGCACCACCCTCCCCCCCCCCCCCCAAAAAAAAATGACTACATTTGTCGGTCTAGAAAAGTCTTGGAAGATATTATCGATAATTTAAAGTTCAAAACGAAAACAAAATGTTCCATGATCTACGCCGATACCTGAACGATGAATCAGATCAGTAATGTTTATCCCACGCACGTTCGACCGGATGTGTAGCAAAAATAGAGCTACCGGATGCTAAACACGAGGGATGTTTATCTGTAGTTTTAATATTGAAAACGTAATGACTGAGAAGTTATATTTATCATTGCAAAAAAGCATGTGATAGCTAATCACCTTTTACTTCGAGAAAACTCAAGGAGGCGGACTCTATGGTACCTTTAGGCATTTCAAATCAAAATATCGCGTCGGGTTTGGGCATATGTTTCACGGGGTTCCAAAAATATCGCAACAAAAAGTCAGCTAGCGAACAATACAAGAGTGTCAGGAATAACAATACGCAAAGGAATGTTGGTGACTGGTGCGTGCGCATATCCTAGAAAATCGACAAGCTCAGCATGGCTGGGTAGTTTTCCAGCAGCTGACAGACGCGATGATGTTGCCTTAAACATGGATTTGATCGAAGGGAGAGTACGTTATCGGAAAGGCAAAAAGGTTAGGCGTACATTGGAGCTAAAGTTATGCGCGATTTAACGCTAACTAGGTTGTTTTGATTGCAGTGGAAGGTTCGATGGGCTGTCTTGAAAAGGGTCAATCCCGCAACAGGTAAGTTGCCCACAAACACTGCTAATTCTTGTGATTTGCGATTATTTCCTCGTGTATAGGAGTAATGGCCGCAACCTCCTGTCGCTAAATGGCAGTCCTTGTGTAGCTGGTGTCGCAGATTCCTTTCATCAAAAAGAAATGTCTTTTGTACTTCGACGTGCTTCACCATTGCACCGATGCATGCATGTGTATAAAATCCAAACAATGTTCCTCGCAAATACACCGCCGCGCTGTGCGCATAGTCTTCGATGCACCGTTAGAAATAATAGACTGTAGTAATAGCACAGTGGACTAACTAGGCTAACAATTAGAAACCGATTCAGAGCTACGTTGCTGATCGTAATTTTTCCCTTGGCTTTTATGAGCCAGTATTTTTTGTCTATAAATATTCCATGGGCTCCAGTTGTGTTAAAATGAAATGAAGTGCTATTCACGGCCAGAAAGAATCATTACTCTGAATAAATGCCGAATTAAGCCAACAAGACTCTTGGAAATGGTAATTGCAGACATAAACAGTCTCGTTGTAAGATTCAATCATGTTGTATTTTGCATTAGTTGGAATCTCGCGCTTCATCGATCGCGTGTCGGCTGTCGATTTCACTGCATTTGATGGGCTTCCACCCCGTTTACTCGCGGCTACATGGCTTTTTGAAAGCTGTAAGCTGCTCGTTAACACGTTGACTTTCTCTCTCTCGATTTTCGTGCGACATCTTGGTCTGTCCAAACATAATCTTTGAACTTTTTAAGCTTAAGGCGCCGCTATGCTTTTTCCGCTTCCTGACAATTCAGTAGCGAAAACGATTTTTAATTTGTATGGCCCGTTGGAAAATGACTAGGCAACATTTTTATCGGTTCATAATTCGAGCAGGGAACGATTTCGGTTTTTCGGTTTTTTGGCCGTATTTTAATACTACTAATTCAGTCATACGTTAATCTAAATGTCACTTGTCACTACCGTTTCAGCATAAAATCAATAGACTACTTTACTTTGCAGATCGAGAGACAATCATAATATTTATATGTGCTCGGTTTACGAAAGAGCCCTTGATTTCTTACGTCGTTCCATTAGAATATTGTTTCTAAATTTATTTTCTTGCGTGATAACATGAAAATTGCTGACTATCTACTCCACTAGCTAATTACTTAGGAGATCATTTATTTCCGTTGTTTAAAAACGTTGGATTTTTCTGTCAGAAAGAGATCGAGATATCTTTCAGGAAGAAATATCGCTTGAATTTTACATCGTAAAAATAGGAATATTACCACGCAATACTTTTTTTCATTTTTGTACCTCTTGTTTACATGTATTCAATGAAGAATTACTCTCTGTAGTTTTCGTTAAAAGGTTTTAAAATTGTGGCAAGCAAAGAACGTCACTACCTGTAAATGGAATTTCTGTGCTGAGGTTGATGCATGTATGTCAAATTGCTTTTGTTAATTTAAGAAATTAAATGTACAGCATTAGTCTAAGTTATCTCTGCTCTATGTTGCATCCATTAATTTTTGTGACCATGAAGATTATATGCCCCCTTAGCTTGACAGTTTTTATCCATCTGCGATATAGTTACATTTTATTGGTGGTATTAACATGACATTTTCAATTTTTTTGTTGTTGACAATTTGAATGAGAAAAGTTGTGACATCCAAAAATAGCTCATTGATTTACATTTTGAGGACTTTTGGAAAGTGAAAGTGTTCATAGATCATGAATTTCAATTGTGCTGTTAAACTTCTGTAGTATACCTTAACCAAACGGGTGCATAGTGCTGCGTTTTGTTGTGTCTTTTTGGCCAGCTGTATTTGGTGAAGTGGTAAAACAATAGTGTGAATACATTTATGTCTCACATATCGTACAACTCTGCTATGTTATTATACAATCAGTCTTCCAAAAATTTATGAAGGAGATCAAATGTGCGATCGTGTGAATAAATTGTTTGAACATTTGACATGTTGCAATAAAAAGGCCATTTGACGTCAGACATAAAGAGGGCTAAAAATTATGGTGAAGATCACACAATAGTTGCCACCTGTACTACTGGATATCTGTTGTAGTTTTGTCTTGACTGAACTGTGAATTTAAATGGAAATGACCACTGTGGTTTGTGTTTTCATTTAACTATTTCTCACAATTTAAAATGGAGCAGCTATAATAAAGATGGTCTGCTTTACTTCATGTTTGTAATTATTCCCAGATTTGAAGTAGTGTGTAAATAAAGGCATTACAGCTGGTAGTATTTGGTAGTATTTGTATTGGAGGGAAGGAAGGATGGTAACCTGCCCTGGACTAATACATGTGTAACCAAATAAGCATTCAATCCAGGGACTAACATTACTCCCACTAAGGAGGACAGTTTAAGACCCATGGCTTGGTAACCACCTAATCTTGAAGACAAACTCAGGGGTTTCATTGACATTTTCAGCAGGAGGACAACTGGACTTCTTTTATAAAAAAAAAAAAAAAAACTTCTCTCTAGATGGCCAAACCAGGTGGGAAAATTGTCTTCACAGCTGGTCAATTTGCCCGGTGCTTGGTCTTTAATGGAACCCCTACAAACTTGAAGCTTTTTATCCTTATCTTCTTCTTACAAACACTCAAAAACAAAAGGAACACTGGGCAACCAGTTATTTTAGTTCAGATGCTGTCTTGTGGCGTAATGTGATTGATGTCTTTTTTTCCACTTGTAGATGTCTTGAATCTTGTTATGTATCCTGATCGCCATGCTGATCAATCAAGTGCTGGAGTGCGTCACAAAGCCCTCCTTTCCCTCAAGGGGTTTAGTGGGTTACAGGTACTCAATAAGATGGACAAGCATTTCAATGTAATCGTTATCATAACAACAGAGGAAGTCATTCCACTTAGCTTTGAGACAATCGATCAGCGGGCTGAATGGCTAGCACTTCTACAGGGTTACTTTGGAAAAGGTGAGTCTAAATCTATGATGATAATGACTGGAAATCATAAAGCACAGATTCTATAAAAAAAATGATCAAAATTAATGTGCTTTACAAGGATACATGTAGTTCTAAAGAAAATAAATAACATGATAATATAGACAAAGTTTAAAAACATTACATGATGGTAGACATTCAGATAATAGAAACTACATTTAGAAATTTAAAGAGGTTTATTAATAGATATATATGATTTCTTAAAGATGAAGTTAAACACATACAATGTTTCAAGGTTGCTGATTTCACTGGTTAGCTGGGCTGTTCAAAAATGTAATGTAGCTGACATCAGAGTGTTCTAGCTATCTTCAAATATTGAATGAGTTTCCCAAATGGAGCTTCTAGTGTAATAATAATGTCAACAAAGCCACACTTTTTTTCACTAAGGGTCTTTTTCACTAAGGGTCTTCTCATATTAACAATTTATAGAGTGACATGTAAAAAATAATACACTTTTCTTTCCAAAGTGGGTGCCCTGCACACCCATCTGGCAAAAAAGCCCACTGGCAGACCTTCAGGCATGTGGCAACAAGAGGTTGATTTGTCGGTACTTAGGAAGATAAAATGATTCTATATCACAAACATGAGCTGTTTAGTTGTTGATAGTGACATGCCTAAGGGAGACACTTTTAATTTTAGTATGAAGAATATGAATACATTTGTGTAGAAGCAATTATGATAGGAAATTAATGTGCACTTTTTCAATTTGCAAGACTAAAAACTGATGTGAGCAGAAAGCAAAATCAATTAAGATGCAAGTGAAAATTTACAATATTTCCTGATGAAAGATGTTAAAACATGATTAGCACAATAAAATCTCAGATCATGATAGCAGGAACAATGCTGAACACAGCACAAGATTAGAGATCCATACATTTGATATGCAAGGTACAAAGATACTGAGAATGAGATCACAGAGGAAGTTGATTAGAAATGTTATACTTTAAAGATTGATAAATTTAAAGATTAAATAATCATGCTAAACAAGAAAAGCTGTTGCTAAATGTATGGTTTCCTGATACCTATAAGGAGCGGATGATTAATAATTTTCAGTCAAAATACATTAGCAATTAGTGCTGTGGAAACCGAGGCACTTCTTTGGTCTCTGAAAATATTCCTCTTTCAGTAAATTAAATGGAGCTAGAATTTTCTATGAAAAGGTACAGTTATTTGAAATGGGGGAAAGACGTATTTTGTACACTGTTTATAAACTAGCCAGTTTTTCCAAATTACCCAACAACATTAGACCATACATTCCTGTTTTCTGCAACAAAATCAACAAGCATAGCCCATTTGAAAATCACCAGTGCTTTCAAATAACAATATCACCTGACATTCTGGCAGGCATTCTGGTATGAAAGTCCAGCTATGACATTGTCAGTTCTCAAAATTAGCCCTCTAGTAGAAGTTGTTATGGTCCTCCCTTATTGAAGGATGGGAGCTGCACCAGGGCAGGCCAGCTACATGTACCGACTAATTAAACCTTATTGAAAGCACTGAGTTGTAGCAAGTACTCTGATAATAATAAAGAGAGGTTCTATTAAGACAATTATTGTCTTAATAGAACCTCTCTTTATTGGCTGTCACAATAGAGCAAATCAGGCAATTACTTAATTGGTTTTGGCTTTAAAAATGGTTTGAGGTTGGCTGTGTAGTCTAATTGGTAAGTAAAAAAGTTTGGTTTTTGTGTTACGACACTCAATTGAAAACCGCTCTTATGTCAAGAGGGGATAAATAAATGAATAGATAACTTTATTTATTGAGGGAAACACTTTACAGTCATGAACTAAGAAACCTGTGGCCCTCACCTAAATTACAACTATAAACAATGGATAAAAAATATATAATGATATCTTGTGATAATGTATTTAATTGGATGTCCTTTGATACCACTAAATTCTCAGAACTTACACTGAAAGAAGTGCATGACAATGAGCTGGGAGAATTTATCTTTTGAACCTAGAACTGAATGCATTTTTTTATGTTCTCCTCCGCAGAAAAATCTTTTGAAGGTATTGTGCCACACAAGCAGAAGATCAAGGCAGGAGAAGCTGTTCTGCGTTTCTATAACACTTTCTTCTCGTTGACTAAGAAGGACAACTACCGTCTTATTGGTCACTGGAAATTTACAGCGTTACCTAAATATGGTGCTGTAGAAGGAGGATTTGCCTTTCAGGCAAGGCCAGACCCTCTATCAGGAGATAAACTGCTTACCTACTTCTTTGCTACTCGATCAGGGAGGGAAATACAGCAGTTATTTGACAGTGTCTGTAGAGCGGATGAGATGGTGCCTGGTCAAGAATACCAATCAGGTATATAGCAGTATTGATGCTCTATTGAGTAGCCCAGTTGATGACTATTGCATATTAAGAATAAAACTCTCCCAGATGTATGTGTAATGAAATGGTGATGAGTGAAATTAGGGAATAATTTCATGCACGTTTTGTCCAAATTCTGTCCAAATTCATGAGTATACTGTTTGATTACTTTTTAATATCATGGGTGACAAATAATATTATTACGCTCACAATTACACTCGCTAGTTTATTGTATCAAAATATTTTGTGCCAAATATTGCCATTGCAATTTTGTTATTTCACATGAGAAATATAAATTAACACTAAAATTATAATAATGCTGAAATTTCACTGAAATTAAGGAGTAATAGCCCTTTTCATGGTTACCTTTGCTCATTCGCATTACGATAAAATCTAGCAGGTCTGTGAGGCAATTTCAGGCTATTTTGTAATTTTAGCCTGAAATTGCCTGACATCCATGTTGGATTACATTGTAATGCAAATGCGAAAAATTAACTGTGAAAAGGGCTATTTATTAGCCATGATATTTATTTGGTCAGATAACTGCTACTTGAAACAAAGCATCAGCTTTCCATGAAAAGATGTCTAGAGGCTGCATGTTCATTCCGAAATTATTTGGGATAAATTGTGAACGACAGTATGAATCGAAAACTCTTGATTAAAAGTTTCCGGCAGCCGAACAGCATTTTTGAAATAATATACCATTTCTGGCAGTCAGAAGATGTTCCACTTATGGCTTTGCATTTATTGTGTTAACAATATGGTTATTGAGAATTAACCAATAACATGCTAACCGATGTGAGGCATACTGGTCTCATGGTTAGTACACTCGTCTCCGTATTGAGCAGTCCGGTTTCAAGCCCTGGCTGGGGACATTGTGTTGTGTTCTTGGGCGAGACACTTTACTCTCACAGTGCCTCTCTCTGCCCATGTCTATAAATGAGTACTGGCAAACTTAATGCTGGGAGTAACCCTGCAATGGACTAGCATCCCATCCAGGGGTGAGTAGAAATACTCCTAGTGGATCAACTCTGGCTTGATGGACCACTTGGCTCGTATGCAGACTTAAACTTTACCTATGCTAACCGATGCGTTATTCAGGTTATTATAAGTTGCGCTTTTCAAGCTAAGCTGAGTGCTATTCAGGCTAACCGGAAACAGATTATTAGACTTTGCTTAAAAAAACTCCATGTCTAGTTAGCACTGAATAGCACTTTGGTTAGCCTGAAAAACAACAATGTTAGTCTGAATGGCAAACCAGTAAGTCTTTTTACGGTTACTCATCAATTATTTAAATGGTAAAAGGATAATTTTCTGACTGCCGGACACAGTGTATTCTAAAAACGTTTTCCGGCTACCATGAAACTTTTAGCGAGGAGCTTTCAATTCATACGGTTGTGTACAATTTATCCCAAAGAATTTCCATTGTACATGCAGACTTGAAATGGAAGGGTAATTGTTTCCTTACCAGGAAATTTCTGTAAAGAAAGCAACACCGTCTGAATTGTGGAGAATTCGGCACTTTTCCTATTTCCTTCCAGCCATGTTTCATATTTTCAGGCCAACGCGTGGTTACTCAGTTCGTTTCCATGCGAAGTTCAAAGACCTTTTCCCGGCGGTTGCCTCAGTTTCAAAATGAGGCTTATTGCAACTATGCCTCAGCATAAAGCTTCTCTCTGCTTCTTCTTGCAGACACCAGCCAGCCCGGAACAAGTGAAGAAGATAATAAACCGCAGCCTGGCTTTCTCCGGCGTGCTTGGCTTCGAATGAGCGGAAAACGGTCACGCAAAGGAAAAGCCCCGAGACCTCGGAGTCGAAGCATGCCATCTACTAGCAAAAAGAAGGCTGAAAACACTGAGCTGAGTTCTAGATCTCCCACAGAGCAAGGAATTCCTTCTGTTCGAAGGAATGAATCGGTGCCTGCAAATATAGGAGCCAGTCGTAACCGCGCTGACAGTTTAAATGAAGTGTTTTTGGGTGAAAAAAAGCCTTCTGCCTGCTCACCAAGAAGCCCACCGCCCGGGTACCAGAATATAGCGGGGGTCACACCCGAGGGATACGAGGTAATGAACCCGGGGGATGATTATCCCCTCAATGGGAGGAAAAGCAGTGGTACGAACTCGTTTACAAGGAAAGAATCAGCGGGACAAAGAAAGAGTGATGCAGCACACGAACAGCCTGATGGAACACAGGCCAGAGAGTTAGAAGGGTATGTGGTGGTCGAAGGGCGGGACGAAGAGCTCCTGGAAAAAATAAGAACGAACTCATACGCTAAAGACAACAGAACATCGCAAGGGTCCGAGAGTGGGCGAATTAAGTCATCTGCTTCAGAGAAACGACAAAGCGATCGAACGGAGGAAAACTGTGCCATTCGAGAAGACGAGGAACACGAAGCGGAAGGGAGAAAAATGTCCGAAAATGAAAAACCGCGTTTGTCAAATGGAGAAGTCCAGTGTCGCATTGTTGTCACTACAACTGAGGAAATCGACGAAGAAAGAACTAAACATGACAAGGACGTGTTGATAAATGGCGACGATGTTTTTGATACAGTTGCAAAAGGAAATCAACGTAGCCGAAGTAACACAAACGAAAAGGCTGCGAGAAACGCCGACTATGTCAACGGAGATATAACGCAAAGCAAGGATAATACCGAAGCGGACGAAAAACAAGCTAATGGTAAGTCCAACAGTGTCTCTACCCGGCGAGGCATGAAAATTCCGCCAAACCTTTCTCTCCCACCAACCACAACTATTGGTAGCGCCGAGCATCTTTATGTGAATTCCCCCAAAATCGTTGATTACGTCAACGTTAAGGGTGGCAGAGCAGGGCCTGGGTCGGCGAGATCTCGCGTCCTAAGCGGCGCGTCGAAGGCTCACTCAGGCGGAAAATCAAAACTAAACCCGTACGCAATGTATGATGGGAACGATGATTCGATTTACCACAGTGTGGAGTCTCTAATGCCGTCACATCCGGGATATCAAAATGTCTTTGCTGATGACCCGTCGCGAAGCCACAGCTTCGAGAATATCGCCGGCCATTCGTACGCCAATGTGGCAGGCGGACACCCTTCGTATCAGAATATCGGGCACATGGATAGGTCGTACGTGAATGTAATGTCGAGGCCACACCAGGGGAATTTAAATTATATAAGACTCGAGGGCGTGGATTCGCCGCACGCGCCAAGCCCGCTAGTAAATACCTCGCCGAAATCGGCGAAGCCTTCAAGCGACTACACTTGGATCGACGAGAGGAAAACGAAACTTTTGAAAGACACGGCTAAAATGCACTCTGAACGAAGGCAGGAGAATCTGCCGCGCGTTATGAAGAAGTAATTTTGTAAATAGTTTAGACTACGAACAATTTCTACACGAACTTGCGTATAACCTGAAAGATTCGCGCGCGAGAAACGAGCAGTAAAAATGCCGCGTGAAAATTGGTGCTGGCGCAACTCGCACCAACCTTCCGCAGTTATTTTTCGGCTTACTTCTCTTCTCGTAGTAAAATAGTTGTTAATTCCGGTTTTATTATTGAGTATGACTTTGTACTTATTTTTACACGGCAGGTTCTGTAGTTGTTAATTACGTCATCTTCGTTTTAGGGAAGTGTCCTCTTTTTGGAAAAACAGTAAAGGAGTGCATGATTAATATCAGGAGCCATAATGGCTCCTGTTAATATTTAAAAAAGTATAAGAGCTTATTTTTGGTAACGAGAAAAAGATTCAGAAAATACTTAGAGGTCTACTGTAGTGGAGAAATAAATAATAGCTTTGTCAGACTACGAATTATCGTTTTTTACTCGATATCAACACGATGTCAAACAGACAGCCGTGGGAAATTATCTTGATGTACAATCAAGTTCTCAGAACCTACATTAATGAAATACATTACGGTCAGTAATGAGAATTAAGATTGCGAACCGTGGAGTCACAGGTTAATTTAATTCTCACATTCTAGTTTGCTTAACTTTGTTTTTCCAAGAGATGAACAGATTTTGTATCAGAATTTATCAGAGTATGGGATGTACGAGATGGGATGGGCGAAGGGTGTCACGAATTGCCTTTAATCTGTAATCATTCGCGCTTACCAGTACTCGTTTTAAAAGATAATTAGATCCGTTTTAATTGCTACCTTGGGAAACTTCTGTTGCACTGAATATTCAGGATTAATTTTTTTAGGACGCATGAACTAGACAAATTATTGTGCTTCTTTACATATTGCGAGCTTGTGGTTTTTATCGTCAGCAGTTGACACGCCTACAGGTCGACTATCAAATTTGATAAAAACCAAGAGTATAGTTTGAATTTTTTGAGAAAAACCCAGTTGCTGATCTTTCTAACATGAAATATTGATGACATTCATTTTGTTTAGCGCTTTCGGCAAGGATGCCAAAACCCCGCGCGCGTTCACAGAGCTGAGCGTAGAAGGCCCCTGTGTAGGCAGTCAGATTGCGAGTTTGCAAACCATCAAACTTTGGTTCAAGCCAACTTCTTACAGTTAGACGTGTGTGCATCTAGGCTATGCATGCAAGGCTTTTGTATAAACTCAAGTTGAGGTAGACGTTTTTTGTAAAAAAAGAGAAAGTTTAATCAATTAAAGGGTGTCTGCAATTTTACCAGTATAAATTGTGTATCCTTGCAATTGTAGTTCGTTGTTATACCTCAGTGCAAATCCAGACCTCAGAAATCACTAGGAAAACAATACAACAAATACCGCTGCAACTGTATTCGTCGAAAATGTCCACTCTTAGCGCCAATCGTGACTGGTGAGATCACGTTATTTGGACTGTCACGCAACACTTCCAGGTGCACCCGTCCATGAGCAAAGAAATATTCCCGCTATACCCACCCATCCCAACTAGGTTCCACCTCCCAACACCAGCCGAACACGAGCCCTTTTCGTATTTTCAGAAACGTTACCTCCAAACACTGAACTCAAAATGGAAGTAGAGCCAGATAACAACGTTAATCAGAGTGGCTTTCTTACAACATATCCTTCTATTCATTGGCTTTCTTGAATTCTATATAGTCGTTTCTTTTCAGATCCTAATCCAGGCATTTATTCAGTACTGCTTAGTAGCCCCAACCAACCCCCCTCTTATGCTCTGGCTTAGGGGAATAAAACAAAAGAAATTGATTTTTCATCCCTCATCCTTGATACGATTTATTTTATTTTATTCCCCCAAGCCTCAGAGACAAGTTTGAATTTTAATATACTGAAGTTGGCTTGTTTCAAGCCCATCCAAAATCCCCCATAAACCTGTAGAAGTCGAGAACTAATAACCAGGAACTTATGGTATGTGCAGGAAACCTGGTTTAGGTGCATTTGTATAGCCACACAGAAATCAAAGAAACAAATTAATGCTTCAGGCCTGGGAGACACTATATAATCGAGAAAAGATCTTTTTCTGCATACAATTTATTAATAAGAAGATATGGTACATCACAGCTACAACCTAACACAACAGTAAGACTTACTGTAAAAATTCTCACTTTTGGTTCCACAATTAAGGGGTAGAGACTAAGACAAAAACTAATTGAGATTCCCTAAAACAGAATCCAGGAAGGGGGGGGGGGGGGGGATCCAATCGAGGAGAGCAGTGGGTCGGCCAGTCCATGTCAACCCAAAAGAAGTATAAGTGACACTGGCCGGGTCCCCTTTACTCCCCCCTCCCCTTACACTAGGCAGACCAAGAAACTCCTGAACATTTTAATGAACATGCATAGTAACAAATACAACTGAAAACAGTTTCACAGTTTGAGATTGAACATTGCATATGATTCATTTTAAACTACTGTACCCTACAAATCTTGGTGCAGCTTTAAAAAATGTTCTACGGTATCTTGCATGAAGAAATAGTGGCTACATACATTCAGTGTTGTGTGCTACAAGAAAATACCATTTCTTTTTTCTAATTCAGTACCATGGCAAAGCAAGCATATTTGTCTCTACTATACAATGTTATGCAAAATTAATGTTTAAATTTACACAAATACATGCTCAAAATAGTGTGTGACATGGGTCTCTTTTTCTTACTGACCAAGTACTGCATTTTGGGCTAGAAAATGGCCATATGAATAACGAAGCATTTGTTCTGTCAAAAGTTGTTGAACATGGCATTTATGTTTTTTGTCATTAAAATAGTTGAAAAAATAAAGCTACTTCAAAAACATGCCCAGCTATAATGTATTTCTTCAACACCCACTGGATAACCACCTCTAAGCACTGCTGCACAAAAAAGGAAAGTTACTAAACTGTCCCACCCCCTAACCCCCTGACAGTATATTTTAAGCCCCACCCTGAGAATTGGACAGCCTCTGACAATGAACACTAATTTATGGAGTCCTTCCATTCTCAGACAAAAATGATCACCTGTCAAGTAGATTGTCAATATGTCTCCTACTTTTCTTTACCTATCAACCATAATAATTAACAAGAAGCCCTAACATTAAGCAGCTGCTCCCTTAACCTGTCACATTGTCCTCCTCTGTACGTCACACAATCCGTCCTTGTCACACAATGCCGGGCCATGTTTGAAAATTAAAGAAAGATATGGTTGGAAATTCATCTTTATCATGAATGGAACTTCATTTTCTCTGCTTCAATTTCCTTAGCTCTCTTCAAGATTGCCTCGTTTTTCTGTTTTATTCGTTGAATCCGCTCATCAAGTTCTCTTTCCTTGACAAGACTTGTTGATTCTTCTGCCGTCGATTTCTTTTCAGCATATTGCTTCACTCTTGGAATGACTGCTTCTTTTTGTGGTTTAACTCGTTGAATGTGTGTACTAAGTTCTCGGTCCTTGACAGGTTTTTTTGACTCAGTTACTGTTGATACATTTTTAATATCTACTTCAGTTTGGTCCCCTTTCTTCTCTAAAAGTCGAGATCTCAAATCTATAAGGAAGACAAAAGCAAGAAAACTATGAGAAACTATTGAGTAAAGATATTGTTTCCCAACTGTGCAGTAGACATAACAAGAAACGAGATACCAAAGCAGAGTCAATGTCTTTCTTTCTCAAGGGAATATGGCGCAAATTGTTGTGTGAGCTTGGGTGGACCAAGTCATATGCCAAAACATCCCTGTATAGGGCTGAAAGTTGAAATCCATGGTATCGGTTGAGCATTGGGGACTGGCACAGAATTTCCAACGCGGCACAAATTCTCCTTCTGAAATTGTTTTCTTCTCTAGCTATGACAGCCATCTTACTCTCTTCCAACTTGTGACCCGTGTTGTGGCTGTCATAGCTAGAGAAGAAAACAACACGTAATCACTTGAGAAAGAGTCACGCTGTGACAGCGTCAAAAGCTTGTGATCACTAAAAACATTGACTCTGCTGCGGTATCTCATTTCTTATCATAAGAAACTACTTTATCCTTGCCACATCCATTCACTCTGAGACAAATAGCAGATGAGAATAAACGAAACCAACAACTTGGCTACACTGTCTGAAAAAAAATTCGAAAAGCCTTGCTTGCAGGTATGTGAGAGTAAAATAACTGTTTTTGATGCATAGAGTAACTACAACAATAATTATTGCAGCCTCACTTGGATGGGATTCTGGTCAATTTTGTTAATTCAAATCTGTGACCTCCTGCTTAGCAAATCTTAGCTCAACAATTATTATGATAAGTGCTGGACTAAACAGGAACATTTAGTTTAATTTGTTTTGGGGTACAGGAACTGGGGAACCACTTTGCCATCTGACATTTCGAGCAGATGTTGCACACATCATGCCAAACAAACTATGACATTTGGGTTTTGTGAAGTAGTGACCTCAAGCACTTGTAGACTGATACAACCTGTGGCAGGCCCAGTGGTCCATACCCCTGGAGGGTGTTCGTTCAAATCCAGTTCACAAAGATCCAGATCTGCCATTGATATAATTATTCAGTAAACAGTCCTAAGAAAATACGCATGCTGATTGGTTAAAATCGTGTTTCAATAACTCAGTAGAAACACAGAACTAGCACAAGCTGTCGATGTAATGATGGCACGAGCAAAGGGAATTACATTTTGCAAAGTTAGCAAGTTGTTTTCCTTTTTTTCCTCGTGGTGTTATCTAAAAGAAATAGAAAACATGTTCTCTGTGTTTCTATCCAGTTATTTAAACACTCGTGGAAGTTTGGGATAACTCGAAAAAGCTACAGCATTTCTCACTCTCCCAAACTTCCACTCATGTTTCTATTTAACAATTAGATTATGAGCTCGAGATTTCTATGAGGTGATGGTTGATGAGGTCGAAGGCTAAATCAACTATCGCCTCAGAAATCGAGAGCGAATTATTTAATTGTTTTAGTAGAATTCTAACTGAAATTAATGCAAATAACGGTTCCCAATTAATTTTCAACACATTATTGAACTTTACGCTTTAACAAAATCACATGTGTTGAATTGTCCTTGGTAAATTTGCAGTTGTTTACCCGCACACAACCATTTTTTTTTTCAATAATTTCAAGTTTTAAAAATCAAGAAACTGTTAATGTCCTTCTTTTAGTCTTCTCAGGAATTTAATTATCCATTTACATATAAACTTTCTTCCAAAACTTCAGAAAAACAATAAAAACGTTGCATTTCGTGGATGACTGACAGCCACTGCACTCTAATGACTGATAGTATACGAGCAGCTCAGCCAATCAGATTGCAGCATTTGCATTAGTATACTAGTAGAATTCTACTAAAACTCGATAGAAACACGGTACATGTATATTTATATAATTGCGAGGTAAATCCAAGCACTCTGATTGGTTCTTTTTTGGTCAAGATTGTGCCATACGGATCGTTTCCATGGGAATGGTCATAAACCATGTATTTTTTGTTTTGTGCCATATCATAAACTACTCAATAACCTAGCTTGCTTGAGCAGTACTGGGAAGTATTGGCCCTTGGTTGTTTTTGTACCAGCCTCACTGCAGTTGGTGTGTACTGCCACTGAATGTTACACCAATAATCCCCAGTACAGCCCTCGTGCCTGGTTAGTAAGAGGTTAATAGTGATATCAATGTACTATAATATTGGACACAAACCTTTAGGTTGTTTGATGATTACACCATCCACATCTCTTTGGAGTTTGGGTTTTAAGACTACTTTAGTCCCATTAGCAACTTTAGTTTCAATAGACAGAGACTTTGCTTGTTTTGTTCTTACAGTTTTCTCCTCAGTGCCACTGTCTCGAGCCTTTCTCTCTTTTCTTGGTGATGTAGACAGTGGTCTTGTATTTAAGTTCTTTTTAAGCTCAAGACGTTCTTTAACACTATTTCTTGTGCTTTCTTTCTTGACTGGTTTATCAACATTTGTTTTAACAACTTTTTCAGTTGTGTTGGATCTAGTTCTTGAGTTTGATCGCGAGCGAGAATGATAATGCCTGCTTTCTCTGTCTCTGCTTTTAGCACTAGAAAACCTATTTTGCTTTCTGTCCCTGCTGTGACTCCTGCAATAACGACTATCACTTCCTCTGTATCGTCTATCTGTTGATGGTGACAATGACCTTCTTTTACTAAATCCTTCCCTAGATCTGTCACGCAAGTGCTGATCTCGCTGTCTGTCACGGTAGGAACGCGATGAAGCTCGAGATCTTTCTGGTGAACGAGAATATCTTTTAGTTCTGTCACTCTCACTGGAGAAACTCCTTTTCCTCTTTTTGCTTTCAGTAGGTATTTTATTCAAACCTATTTTGGACTTCACTACTGGTTGGTTCTCCTCCTCCTCTTCTTCAAAATCACTGTCTTCATCCTCAATACTTAACTGATCAAAGTCCATTTTCTCCTCACTCTCATCACTTTTTAACTTGGGCTCTGTAGATAACAACTTTGATTCTTTGTTAGCAGAAATCTCTACCTTGCTTTCACAGTCAACAGCTTTGCTTGACACTTTCTCATTGCCTTTCTGTGCTGTTTCCTTGACATTTCTTGGTCCTTTAGTCTCTTTAGCTTTTTCCACTGTGTTTTCTTTTGACAGCAATTCTTGAGTTTTGTCTCTTTTGAGGTTTGGCAAAGTCACAAGGTCAGTTTTTTCTGCAGATGGAAGCTTTGAGCTTGAGTTTTTCACAACTTTAAGTGAAGGCTTGGCCACTAAAACAGTAGGTTCTTCATTTTCAGCTTTTACACTGTTCTTTGTTTTGCTCTTTAATGCCAATACTTCTGTGTTTACTTTTTCTGATGAACTTATAGCAGAAGAGACCACAGATTCTTTCTTTTCCATTAAATTACCATTATCCACAACAGGCTGATCCACAATCATTTCACTTTCACATTGATTTTCTTTTGTCATTTCAGTTTCATTTTCAACTTTACCATCACTTTCATTTTCACTATCCGACTGACTAACGACAATACGCTGTGTAGATGTCATTTGGAGTTCATTTAGACTTTCATTATCACTTTCATTCTCTTTGTTCAATCCAGTGTTGTCCTCATATTCATCATCCACAATTTCCAAATGCTCATCCAAGTTGGTAGGCGAATGTGATACTATAGATTCATTTGCAATAGTGATACTGATATCATTTAGGACATTGATTTCGTTAGCTGAATCATTAAGCTCATCTTCCAATGCTTCCAATGCTTCTAAATAATTTTGCGAATTTTCCTGAGTATCTTCAACACTGTCTTCATCACTAAAATCAAGATTGTTTTCTACATCATCTTCATCAGATGAAATGTTATTTTCAATGCCACCCTCATCAGTCAAAACAACATTGTCCCTGAAATCTTCATTATCACTCCAAACACTGTTGTTTTCATCATCAGTCACCACATCATTCTTTTCATCAACATCATCATCATCTACATCATGACCTTCATCTGAATCTTCCTTAGATTCCATTTCCTGTTCATCTCTAGGACTTTCAATTTCAATCTTCTTGTCACTTTCTGCATCATCAATGTCCGAGCCACTGTCATTTGCTTCAGAATCTGGAGGCGTCCTCTCGCTTAAGTCAATTTCTTCATAGTCTGTACTTGTTGAGGAGAAACTCTCTTGTCTTTCAAGAGAGACTACTTGCAAATCAGATTTATCTTTGCGGCCAAGACTTACACGTCGAGTGCTGCTTAAATCTGCCGCAGGCAATCCTTGTTTTGTAAAAGAATTCTAGAAAAGAGAAGAACATACTACTTATCACATACTGTCAACAGGCCAAGGAAAAACTAGTCTTTAAATAAACCTTTTTCTTACTTTTGTGCCTAAGCTCCTTAAAGCAGCAAGCCGCAAAGCTTCCAAATCATCAAAGTCCTCGTCATCGTCATCCTCACCAATACTTCTGACAATCCTTCTGTTTTCTTGAGACTTGAAAACAACAACAATTATCATTATTATTATTATTATTATTATTATTATTATTATTATTATTATTATTATTATAATCAGGTCAATTTGCAATGTCCAAAAACAAAATACATAACCTTCAAATCAAACAGAACTGAAAAACAACTAAGTTATCAAAAGAAAAAGAGGTACTAGATTAGTAATAACAAGCCACACTGGTACAGAGAAGGTTATGACCAAACACAATACTATTATGACAATTTAATATAATTATTAATTAGATCTAATTGGTATTGTTTATGATTAATCTAGCTACTTTTATTGTTACAATCATTTAAAAATTTGAAACGGTTTCGTTCGTACAATTTTGATAGTGAATACTGATCTGTTGTACGGTAAAGTACAGGCAAAATATGAAAGCGACCAAAGTGGAATCGAACAAGCTAACAAACATTTGCAAAAGTAGCATTTAAAATCACTTTATTAATCAGACGATACTCGGTAATTGGTAAAGATGATGCTGTGACGGGAAACACCAATTAGCAGTGCCTTGATCCTGTAAAACAACTTTCAACTTCACAAGACCGAGCTCATTGCGAGCGAAGGTCCGTAAGTTAATTAACTCACCTCGAATTCGTTAGAGACGGCAACCCTGTAAACATCACGCCTGAAAACGTCGTAATCAATCTGAAATCAATCAAACACAGTTCAAAACAAAGGGCTAACATTTCAACTAAACCGAATTAAGTAATTTTTTGTTAAGAATGCCTGCTGTACCTGCTCTACGTCGGCGTCCATCTTGGAAATTTTCGCTATTTCTGGTCCTTGCGCAGAAAACTGCGCATTATTGGATTAGAGGAACCGCTGATAGGCAGGCGCAAATTGACAGGTTTTCTTTCAGAAGTACTCATTTGTTGTATTTGTGTAAGTATGGTAACTGCATTTATATACACTACAGTGCACTACGTCAATTTTAGTCTATTCATATGAACAGCCATTTAAGGGTTGAAGAGTCATGGGGGAAGGTGGGGTATGGTATGTCCATAAGGTTCAATTGGGACTGCAGAGCCCCACCCACCCCTCCACAGACCTAATTTTTTTTCCACCACAAAGGAATTAGAGGTGAAATGTAATACGCTCTATAAATGACCACGTGGCGGATCTAGGGGAGGGACCCAGCCCCCCTATTTTGGGTAAAAAAAATAAATTACAGAAGGAAGAAAAGCTGGCAGGGCAAGCAAAAAAAAACAAACAAAACACCACGCCACCCCACCCACCCTCTCCTTAGCTCAAGGTCTGGATCCACTACAGGCATTAAACAGATACTTTTTATGTGGTTGAAACATGGTTCTGGGTTAAAACCATTATATCAGCTATTTCTTTTTCTTTTTTCCTTAAACTGGAGAATACTCCCAGTTTCCAAAATTTGCATAAAATTTTTCACATCCTGATCAAAGCTATAACAAAATTCACAAACCCGATTGGGTATCAACAGGCCTAACAGTTAGCACAAATAGGACACTGTACGCTAGCCTGAAATGTCAGTCAACTCCCACCCCAAGCCTAATTCCTGGGCAAGACACCCCCTGGGGATTAGGATGAGGGCAGATGACTGACAAGTCCAGGCTTAGGATATGCTTCATTTTACACATCCGTTCTTAGGCAGATGTACTTGAATTTATTCCTTTTCCTGTACATCTTGATCAAAATGTACTTAAATTGTTAAAACTTTTAATTTTTATCAAGATATTCAACCAATAATAATTATGGCCATCAAATTCTATCTTGATCTTTAAATTAAAGAATTTTTTTACTTATGAGAGGTTAGCTTGTTTGAAATTGGGGCCAGGAGTTAACCGCTGTCCTTAGTCTTGGCTTGACTTGGGGAGAGGAAAGTTTTAAAGTTAGCTTCACATGGCTGGATAGGCAATGTGACTATACAGTGGAATCTTGATATAATGAAGAGCCAAAGAACTGGCAAAATATGGTCACTATAACGAGGTTTCGTTATATCAGAGTTTTTCCCATATATTTTATTATTTACTAAGGCAAAGAATAGCGTTCATTATACTGAGACTTTGTGAAATAGAGGTTCCCCCGTAGTTTTCCATCATATACATGTTGAACCAAATAATGAATGTTGGAAATGGTGTCACTTTTGATAAAACATTTTATTTTTTTCCCTGTGTTAATCATTTACCAGGGTTTTCACAATTCAAGATTATCATGTAAAGACTTTACAATGGTATGTACACTCATTTAACTTAGTCTTTTACAAATAGTCTATTGCAAAAGTAGTCTATTACAAAAATGGTCTATTACAAAAGTAGTCTATTACAAAAATGGTCTATTACAAAAGTAGTCTATTACAAAAATGGTCTATTACAAAAGTAGTCTATTACAAAAATGGTCTATTACAAAAGTAGTCTATTACGAAAGTGGTCTAATACAAAAATGGTCTATTACAAAATATAACAGGTCTATAAGTGTTTGCAAATACCACACAATCCATTACATATTTACATTTCAAAACACAATGATGTGACTTTACCTCACCTTGCACATCAAATCACTTATCGGCATATGAAAATACTCCTTCAAAAGCAAAATAGAATAATTGTAAACTTTTCTGATTTCCGTTTTAGGCCTGCGAGCGATTTTATCTTAAGTATTTGATTGTACATATACACTTCAATCTGCTCTTGATAAATCAGTTACTTTTATGAGCTGCAGCAATTTACCAGAAATTGCATGATTGTTGTCTTAAGGTTCTTTCCCTGAAAGAATATCTGCATAGTTTGTAATGTCATGAAGGTCAAGCACACAATATGTACATCTTGATCTATCCACTACAGCTTACACAAGCCTCGGGATTTTTAAGAGAGCAAGCAATGGCTTCTTCTTTCTGCTCTGCAGTCTTGGTTGTCTTTTTGAGAGATTGTTGGTCCACTGTAAATTGAATTGCATTTGCGGCAGGACGAGTACGTAGGTAGTACATTCCTGTCTTGAGACCCTAGAAGATTTAATTCATAGAACTCTTTGAATTACACTGTAGACTCAACGAAGGTGAATAATTTCTAGAGTCGTTGCACTCTGTTTGCATACGAACAGCAATGAGAATCAATGTGCTCTCGGCTAGGGAAAGACATTTCACTCTCACACTGCATCTCTTTGACCAGGAGTGTAAAAACAATGGTGGTAACCAGCAAACTGTGAGAGAGATGGGGGTTATGCCGTGATGAAGTAGCATTTGTCAGGGATTTCATCAAGGGCTGAGCACCAGCCAAATTGACTGGCTATGGGGATGGTTTTGCCCACCTAGGTTGACCATCACCATTGACCATCTTTGAGGCCTTATACACCACTCTGACACAAGGACTTAGATGAGGTGAAGGTTTTCTTATAAACAAGTTCAGTTCAAAAAGGTTTTGTTGGCCTGAGAAAACCAGTTGTCCTTCTGCTGAGAACGTTAATGAAACCCTGCATTGCAGAAAAGCAATAGTCCCTGTCACCATGCAACAAGCTCCAGAGGTGTGGGCCACTTTATCTAAAGTCAGACTTTTAGTATCTGGCAAGATATTGATGCAACTTTGTATCTATTTTAGGCAACCAGCATTAACAAGCATTGAATTACCTTTTTCCAGCCATAGAAGTGCATGCTTGTCAGCTTGCCATAGTTAGGTTCAGCAAAGAACACATTGAATGACTGACTTTGATCAATGAATGCTCCTCTGTCAGCTGCCATATCTATGAGAGTCCTCTGGGAAATTTCCCAAACTGTCTTGTACAATGGTTTAAGATCATCAGGGATCTCGTCAATGTGCTGAAGGATTCAAGAGGGAAATACAGGTTGAGTAATGTGGTATTATGATAATACAAAGAAACCTGACAGTGGCATGCAAAGGAAAGAAGTATGTTTGAGTGGAAGAAATGGCTAGTGCAGTCCATGTTAGGATATGGTATTATTTCATTAACACTTTTGTCAGAACCTGCAAAATTATAATTGTGGTTGACCGCTGAACATGAAGATTAACTCTGAATTTTCCCTGATTTTTCGACAACTTTCTTACAACCAAATGCAATGGCAACAGCTAACACACCAAAGAGCCCCTGTTTTGGTTGAAAACATACATATTAGCACAATGTAAAGGTACCTGAATGGAGCCATTAGCAGCTACAAGTTTGTTTTTTAATGTTTCATTCCATAAACCTCTCTCTGTCAAGTCTTTTAGCAGATGGTGATTTACAATCTACAAAATGAAAAAGCAGTTCATGCCTTTGGTTACAGTGTAATAAACAACATACATACATACTTACGTACATACATTTTGGTTATTTTATCAACACTTATTATTAATTTGTTTGTTTTTCCATGACAACACAAACTTCACCAGGGAATTGATAAGAGGTGGATGCATTACTAATTTGGATATTTTTGTCAAAGGTATTTTTTTGTGAAATTTCCAGGACAGACTATATGTCTGTCATCAGGTTTCCATGTCCACACATACATGTATAGCAGGGGTCATTCACAAGGGGTCGATTAGTATTATTTTGATGGTTATAAGTCAACCTTTGTGTACAGTTCAAACACAAAATTATTATTAATACCTGAAATTCCCCTGAAAGAACACGTCTTGAGTAAATGTTGCTTGTGTATGGCTCAAAAGATTCGTTATTGCCAAGAATCTGTGCAGTGGAAGCTGTTGGCATTGGTGCCAACAATAAACTGTTCCTCAATCCATACCTTAAAACAAACAAGAAAACCAACATAAAAAATTATATTTGTCTCCACTACAGTAATATTAACAGCACCAGATTCAAACACCAAACCCCAAAAAATGATTTGCCCACATTTGTAACACTGCACTGAATTCAAAATCAAAACAATGTGTTTCAATTAAAATTTGAGTTATACCTTTATGTTCAGAATCACGGCTCAAAAAAACCCCCGTCCGGTTGTCCGGGACAAGTAGATTTTCCCTTCAGGCAAGTAACTTTCTCTCCTTACTTGCCCCAGGGGCAAGGACCCAGGCAAGCCGTTCGCCAACTAAATTTTTGATAACGCAGAATGATTTCATTGTAATAGAAAAGCCTTTTTCCCCCTTATACGAGGCATGTCTGTGTGTCTCTTGTCTGTCCCCTCTGGCCTCCTAGAACTGAAATGCACCCCCACCCCCCACCCCCCACCTTACCTTTGGAATTCCAATCAAACGAAATCCCCCCCATGCCTTTGGATTAGCAGTTCAAAAAACCCCCCTTGCCCTTGGAATCCCAAAAAGCCCTCCCTGACATTAGGTATGGATACTTTCTGGAATTGTCCATTGCTATTTTAGTGAGAAATTAGTCAGATTTTAATCACTCCTGGGATTTAAAGGGTTAAGCATATCATAGTCATGTTGCTGCCAGTTAGTCTTAGCCTCCTCTCTTCCACAGTATATAATTATACACTCTACTCCCACATTAATACAAGAGTTGTTCTTACTTTTTTATATCTGCCTTCAGTGCTGCCCAGTCCCACAGATCTGTAGGAGTCACTCCCCAGAGATCATACTGAAGTTTCTGTTAGATAACAGACACTATTAATAAACATGGTGAAATATAATGTTTTTGAATTAACAAATGTAGGTTCAAAAAAGTCAAGTGCAAATTTCACCCAACATTTTGCCAAGGAAGCAAAAAACAACAAATAACTTTTGGTTTGAAAAATCAGAATTCTACTGTCACATACTGACTTCTATGTTCCAGTAGAAATGATACAAAATTTAATATAGAATTATTGAAATACTAGAGAACACATCAACATTTATTTTTAAAAACTTGCTATATCATGTCCCCGACAAGTAAACACTGTTGGGCACAAAATAAAAGTAACCATATCACTGTCTGAACTAGTGAATATTGCTAACCCCCTTTGACGACTATTCTAGGACGGTATTAAAATAAGTAGTCCTAAGGTGAAATCAATATTTACCCCTTGGCTTGCAGGCGATCCTTCATAAGTTTCATAAACTCCTTTCTCTTTGGCCAACTGGCAAGATGCCTAGTGAGAGACAAATAATATTTATTAAACCACAGCACACAAGATCAAGAGTTGGTGAATTTGTTTGTTGTCCTAAAGTAGAGGGGTAGGTAACGAGACTTGAAATGGACAGGTTACTGTTAATGCTCCATAGAGGATTGTCTCAATTTATTTTAGTTCAGTTCTTTGGCTTTGTCACTTTCAAATGGATATCTCATAAGAATGAAGGCATCAGCCATTCCCTGAGATTGCGATAAACATACTGTTTAAAGGTGCTGTTACAACTTGCTCTGCCAATTTTGTTGGGGCACAGTGGACTAATAGGGTGTGTCAGTCAAACCCTCATTGGAAATGGTGCAAAGTCTCTGAGTTAATTAAGTTACTCCAGAGAAACATCAACAGGGCCCTTTTGTTTTCCTCCCGTCGCAACCCCCCNCACCCCCGCCCCCTGCCTCCTCTACTCCTTTCTCAACACACACTCCACTAAGCAGACAAGATCAAGATCCAGAAGGTATCTTTTTGAACAAAACATTGAGGCCTGGAGGACAGTAGAGAACCATGGCACAAACAGAAACACCAGACTAGGAAGTTAACAGAGAGAGGAAAGCTAAATATGTAGGACTAGTAAGTGTCACACTGCCCTGTGTAATGCTCATTGCATGATGCAGAGGGAAATTGTCAGAAGAACAAAAGCATCAAATTCGGTTGCCCTGAAGAATGTGAAGTTACCAAGACCACAAGATAGGATGAGCTGAGTCACTGATGTTGAGATTAAAATTAAATACAAACATAACTTACTGTTAGTGCTCCATAGTAGATTGTCTCAAATATTTTTTTGTTCAATTCTTTGGCCTCATCACTTTCAAATGGATATCTCATAAGAATGAAGGCATCGGCCATTCCCTGAAATTGCAATAAACACACGGTTTTTTTAAGGTGCTGTTACAACTTGTCAACTTGCCCAATGGGTAGTGCAATGGACTCGGGGGACCAAGCAGTCTGGGTTCAAGCCCCAGCTGAGGTAACTGTGTTCATGGTCAAGACGCATCACTCGCACGATATTTCTCTCTACCCAGGTGTATGAATTCACCACTAGGGGGTAACCATGTGATGGACTGACATCCCATTCAACCTGGGAGAGGGGGTGGGGTTGGGGGGTTGGAAATACTCCCAGTCGTTTAGGCTACAGAAACCGAGATTAACTCAGCTGGCCGTCTGGACCACTTTTCCAGAGACATTTTACCTTACAAACTGCAAGAACAATTTCCCTGTGTAACATGTCTTAAGGGTTAGTAAATGGTTTGAATATGGTAAATAGGCTGGGGTTAATACCTTGTCAAAACAAACCATGTTTAAAGATATATTTGTTGGTCAAATTAGCACAAGGTATTCCTATATTTAATTTTCCACAAGTGATTTTACCTGTACTCCAATGCCGATAGGCCTGTGTCTCTTGTTTGATCTTTCAGCCTGATGAAACAAAAATAAGATTAATGAAGGGAAGGTAATAAGTAAACAAATAAACTAATTACAAGTTGCTGTCAATGATAATCCACTGAATTGCACATTACTTGTAAGCTTCTACTATAAGCAGAGTACCATATACAAAAATCAATTTTTTCAAACACACCTCCTTCACTGGATAGTAGTTGATATCAATTATTTTGTTTAAGTTGCGTGTTACCACCTGTCAAAAAAAGACAGAACAAATAAGACAACTTAATCTGAAGAAATCACAGTCTGCAGCTATAACTAAGGTACATGTAATATGCAAAGTCAATTTTTCTTTTTCACTTTCTATAATTTTAGCACGTATTTACCTGGGTAACCTCAAAGAGTTTTTGGAAATTAAACTGTACTGGCCTTTCATCAGTCATAACAAATTTGTTGAGTGCAAGTGAGGCCAAGTTACAGACAGCAACCTGTATGAGAAAGAGAAAAGCATTTTACATGTATGCCACTAACAGCTTCTGATGGCAATCAGAAGTTTCATCAATGTTTCACAAGGAAGGCAACTGGTCTTCAAAGACAGGGAAAACATTTTGAACTGAACCTTGTTGTAGGGAAAATGTTTCTCTAGATGGTCAAACCAGGCAGGCAAAATCGCTACTTGGGAGTTTCTGGGGTTCAGAATTGCAGACTATCTTTCAGATAAAAAAGATTGAGAGCACAAAAGAAAACAAAAAATTGACTGCCATTTTTAACTTAAAATAAGTAACAATATGCTATTAAGGAAACATACTTCATCTGGACTGCTGTACTCCACAATTTCTGTGCAAAGATTGCTGCATTTGATGGTTCCAACATTCTAATAGTGAAGTAAACATTTTAGTGTTAGAGTAAATAAATTTACTTGTTTGTACAATTTTTTTTAAGAAAACGATCATTCCAAGGAAATGAAGAGAAGATATGATCAACTACTTAGTATACAGGAGATCAGTTTGCTTGTATCAGAAGATTATGTTATGAGAAGATTCTGTTCTTCTACAGTGGCTTGTGAGCAGCTCAATAGCACAGCAAGATCAAGCTCAGAGGAGGCAGGGCAGCTTTTAACATCCCCACCCCAACACTCACATTGCACAGTCAAGTGTTTCTTAGACAGACTATCAGGTTGTTATACTCGGGAGCAGAGCACATTGCACACACAATGGAAAGGAGTCTACCCTGAAGAGAGGAAGAGATGATGATGGGCAGGGCTTGAAAAAAACTTGAATTCTAGCTTGCCCTTTGGACAAGCAGCTCTTAAATTTTGCTTGCCTGGGCAAGTCTAGCTTACTTTTGTTATTTAGTTAGTAGACAACTTGTCTGGGCCCTTGCCTATCAGGCAAGTGACAATGAAAAGTTACTTTGCCAGCAGGAACCTGTACTTCTCCCAGACAGCACATTCCAACCTGGTGATGGGAAGGAGATGGAGCAGAAATGGCAATGGCAGCAATGATAGCATACCTCATCAACTCACCTGTTGGTTACTCTTTCTGTTGCATGCATCTTTGTATAACATGTATGGTGTGCCAGTCTCTGTCTGTGCTTCCAAGATCGCAAACCACAGCTTTTGAGCTTTGATTTGTCGGCGGAATTTTCCTTGCTCCTCGTAGCTGTGTTAGGTTAAAGAGCAATATGAAAAATTGTCCCCATGGTACAGAATGAACAAGCATTCCCACTAGCTCCACTTATTCCAAACATGAAACCAGAATTCAGACAGTCAAATCAACTAATCAAGGAGTTTCCTAAGGCTTTTCAATGACAAAATTGATCTCCCAACTCAAACTTTCAAAGACACGTGACAACCTGTACAGTATAAATACTGTTATATGTTAAAGTCATGAGCAGCACACACCCTGGAAACCTTCGCAGTCCTTCAGAGCATCAAAATCAGTGTTATCAAATCACCACCACTGGACATCCTTTCCATCAGGCATTGCATGTCAATGATAAACCAGTGACTGAGCACCAACTAATAATGATTTAGTAAAATACCTTTCATAAAGCTTGTCAAAAGCTTCTCCCCAGCAGTCCTGTAGACCAGGGCACTCATTAGGACACATAAGTGACCACATCCCATCACTCTCCACACGCCTCATAAAGAGGTCAGGAATCCACAAAGCATAGAACAAGTCACGAGCACGCTAGACAGAAAAGAATATCACAATAAATTGGTAAAATCTTGACTTGGGTGGGGGGCTTCTGCCTTCAAGGCTGCCATAAGATGCCAGTAGCTAATTATTACTAATTGGAACTGGTATCTTGACGTTTCTATATAACCAAACCACAACAGTCAAAGGAGGCCCGTCTTGAAGTCACCATCACCTACAAGTACTTTCATTGTACAGCCATGTTTTTAAAAAGCTTTAGTAATGTCCCTCTGCATGGATACCATTGGGCAGTGAAAAGCAAAATAGATCTCTTCCTATACCTGTTCTTCTTTTCCTGTGTTCTTCCTTAAGTCCAAGAAATCAAAGATATCGCTGTGCCAGGGTTCCAAGTATATAGCAAAGGCTCCTGGTCTCTTGTTGCCTCCTTGGTCAACATACCTTGCAGTCGCATTGTAAACCCGCAACATCGGTACCAGACCGTTTGAGACTCCATTGGTCTGGTTGAAATGGAAATAGACAAAAATTTTGTCTAGTTTTATCAAAAAATGATAAACTTTTAGTTTTAATTGTACCGGACATTTTTGATACCTGCTGTAATAAGCTATTTAATGTTTTCCTGGCCAACACGGTAGTTTGAAACTTCTTTTTCCACGCTACTTTCTGTCTTTTTTTTTCTTATGCCCATGCAGAGCCATGGCAAAAATTATTTAGTTCAACTTACATTAATAAATTTCTTTCTTCTGTGCAAATATTTAATAAATAAATGAATAAATAAAAATCAAATGATGTTTGTGAGATTACCTCCTCAAGGTAGCTGCACCCAACAAACAGCAATATGATGTTCAAAAATAATTAGCCTGGTTTTTACCTCCTTTTTAGCTACTTTGCATACAAATTTAAAAATTATATAACTGATACAAAATAAAATAAAACCATGGCCTTACCCCTGCTATGTAGCTCCCAGCAGCTCTGATATTATGCACATTAATACCAATTCCACCAGCTGATTTTGAGATTCTAGCACAAGTCATCAGCGTTTCATAAATGCCATCAATGCTGTCATCTGACATTGTCAGCAAGAAACAGCTTGACAGCTGTGGTTTACAAGTGCCAGAATTGAAAAGTGTCGGTGAGGCATGTGTGAACCACTTCTCAGACATCAAATTATAAGTTTCAATGGCAGCATCAATGTCATCCTTGTGGATTCCAACTGAAACTCGCATCAACATGTGTGCTGGCCTTTCCGCCACTTTGCCGTTGATCTTTAGCAGGTAAGATCTCATTAAGGTCTGCAAAATATTAGGAACACCTTTTATTTATACAAACGTAAGAGTGGAAAAGACAGTTTTGATGGACAAAAAAAGTTTGACATACCTTCACCCCAAAGTAATTGTAGTGATAGTCACGGTCATAAATGATAGCAGAGTTGAGTCTCTGAAAAAGGGAGCAATGTAATTTTTTTAGAAACTCGGACCAAGTTTACTAATTAAAACAGGGAAGTAATCATTGATTTTGTTTAGCAATGTCACCAATGTGCTGAAAGAATTGCTATATTATCTCAAATAAAGCATCTATATAGCATCAGCAGTCTTTGTGTTCACTTTTCTGTACACTTACCAAATAACAAAATTAAAAACTGAAACTACATTAGATCACAATTAATAGAATTTTCAAAGTCTTAAGAAGAATTTGAGTTTTTTTCACTTACATCAGCATTATTCATGATGATCTCATGTGTCTCCTTAGAGATCAGTGGAGAATGTTTCCCATTCTTAGGGTTGACATAGTTGTACAGATCCGTCATTACATCTGAGAAAATATAGAATGCTCTTATTAACAAAAAAGACAAAAGGGAAATACAATGTAGGGAATAAACCTAACCTTCATAAGAAAGATTATGTGCATTTAATAGATTGTTTTCATGTGACGTCATCACTTTCTAAAATCAAAAACGAAAGAGCCACCAAAGTTTTTGTCCTCATCAGGCACAAGAGGCGGTATATTTATATCTGCTTACAATTTTACAGCTCAATAGCATGCTTTGTTGGAATCCAGAGCATTTTGAATTTCAGGGTTATGGAGGTGCATGACACAAGGCTATGATCGTGTTTGTCGAAAAATATATACTTATCCCATGATTTTGAGCCTTTTTAGAAGTTAAAGCATTAGGAAAAATGCTTATGTAAATGCTTGTTTGATCAGTACTGATAATCAGTCGCCTCGATAGCCAAAGTAAGGTCAAAATAATAATAATCATAAAGATCTTTCAACAGGGAGCCCACTTCACATACATGTGGTTTTCAGTGGGGCCCTGCAAAAATAAAATTGCAAAAGCTAAAGAAATAGTAGATTAAAAATAATAACATTTAACCATTGTACTAATAGAAATATAGAAAACAGTAAAAAAAAAAAAAAAAGATAATTAAAAATTAAGAAATACCCCTAATTCGACTTTTAAAATTAAAAATACTGATACTGTTCCTAACTTCATCGGGTAAAGTGTTCCATTCATTAACGGCATTGTAAATAAGACGCTTTTGTCCCCAGGAGCGACGGGATGGAGGCTTACAAATGTTGTCTTTACTTCTCATGTTATACCCATGAATATCTTTAAAACTACAAAAATTAAAATCCCAGTCAATTAAACCATTTAAGGCCTTATTATTATTATTATTATTATTATTATTATTATTAAAACCTAAACTAGATTGAAACAGCCCATACTAAAAAAAAGCTTTTAGAAANTTATTATTATTATTATTATTATTATTATTATTATTAAAACCTAAACTAGATTGAAACAGCCCATACTAAAAAAAAGCTTTTAGAAATACAGCGTGAGCAATCTTTTCTGATGGGAAATTGCAAACTGATCCTACAAGCATTAACGCCAGCTGTTTATACTATTTTCCAGCCGCCATATTGGTGTACCACGGAGGTACACCAACATGGCATTTTCATACTGAGCTCTGTAAATATCGGCAAAACATTTTGAAGAATATCTGAAGTTTGGGGAAACACACAGGCCTAAAACTTGGAGAAGTGGCTTATTTAGTTATCTTCTATAACATCATAATTTCATAGTTTTTTCCACCGGATGGTTTTCGATTTATTTTTTTATTGTGTGACAGTGAAAACGATCTATAGAGATCAGAAGTGATGAGACATGAGACCAATGTTGCTGTCAAAATTTTCCCATTATCAAGGTTTGCAATGTGATTTTTGTTGCCATCCTTGTACCAATCAAACAATAAAATTCCATGACTAGATAAGACATTTTGTGTCCTAGGACACTAGATTATATATTAATTGGAGACTTAAATATCCCCCAAGCCACCGCACCCCCCTACCCCTGCACATTAGACATTTTAAATCTACCATTGGACAAATTCCCATCCCCAGGGGAACATCAACAAGTAAAATGTCTGGGGTATACCAGGGGGGATGTTGATCAATACATTAAGTTATAAAGCCTACCACTAAACAACTTCTTTGTTTCCTTCTGAAGATTAGAAACTTCAATTCTGGCTGCAAGGATGGCATAGTCAGGGTGAATAGTGGTCATTGATGCAGCAACCTCTGCAGCAAGGGTGTCCAGTTCTGTTGTTTGTACTCCAGGATAGATTCCAGCGATAACTTTCTTGGTGATTTCAAACTGAATTAAAAAAAAAAAATAGAAAACAAACATTTTTTTAATTATTGCTGATGATGTGGAAGACCAATAAATTTCTTACAATCTTCAGGGCTGTGTTTGTAACGTGGTCTATTACTATATTTTAACATTTAAGGTGGTTACAAATTAATCATCAAAGTTTGACCACATGGAATAAGAATGAGCAAGTAAAATGAATGAAAGTGAAGTGAAATGAGCAAAATGAATCCATTTTGCTGTAATCTCGTCGTAAATATACATGAAAGTGATTTTTCCATAATTTTGCAACGTGTTCGAAAAAAGTAAAAAAACGCTTTACAAGTTTGCAGAGCTAGATTTTGCAATCATCTGATCATAAGCTTATAGTTGAAAGTACAATGTACATTTGCTTTGTGATGTGATAATGATACGGCGACGTTAGACATTTCGCGCCTTTCTCGGAGAAATATCTCGACTCCTGCCAAATGTAGAAACCCTCAATTATTTAATGTGTTTAACTTAATTAAACTTACGCTTAAACTGACATTTTCCTAGTTAAGTATCGATATTTAGGCTTGTAAATTCGATTTTTGCCCGCGTACTCGTGTGATCGATTCAACAGGTACTGAAGGCTTGTTGGTTTCAAAACAATCGAAGATCGAAGGGCATTTCTTAAATTATAAACGTCTCAAAGGTTTGAAATCAAGGCCGTAGTGTTCAAATTAGTGTGATCCGGTATCCACCGCTACAAAGGTAAGCTTGAGGCACGAACGTTTGAAATTGCGCGCGAAAATCCTTGAACCCTATGCGAAGACGACAAAAGTATTTCGAGTTCCTAAAGATTTTCGAATGGATTGCCCAAAAATTGAAAGCCTGTTGAAGAAAGATATACGATTTGCGACGAAATATGGAAGGTTTGTTCAGTTCGTTTGTACTTTGGCGCCAAAAGAGAAACCATCGAGCGACCATGTTGATTTTGATCGATTCGCGGGGACGAGCTAGCGCTTTCATAGAAAATTTAACTTACCGGACAGACAAATTCGGACAGGCCATAGCTTAGTCTTTGGATCCGTGCAGTAATCTTGTCCAAAAAAATCTCCTGACGCTTTTTATCTGAAAGAGAAGAAGATCATTGAGTTTAACCAAGATACTGAATACAAACAGGCGACCAAGATGTCGGTCGTCCCGTGGAATAACTCAAAACTCACTGCGTTTGATGACGTAGTTGAACAAGTTTTCAGGTGACTCCTCTTCTTTCAGATTGTCAGCCATGTTAAAACGAAACTTCTACAGCTAAGAACGAGTACAAAGCAAAATTGAGGAAGAAAATCTTGACCGAAGTAGACCTTGCGCGCGAGGTGAGGAAAGTGGTTTGAAGTTGGCGCGCTCCGAGATTTTCAATCAATTCAAGTTTTCCCGCGTGCGATAACCAGCAGCCAATCAGGGACAGTTAAGGGACGTTCGATGCCCAAATACGGATAAACTGTCCAGTTTCCCTTCTTTCCTGCTTTCTTCCTCTTTGAATTTCTTTCAGAAAGTGTAAATATTATCGGCTCAGCGTCCCATGCCTTGCAGAATTTCTTGCTTGTCCTAAGAGTTCCTCTGAAAAGTTCAATTAATCACGCTTTACTATGTTTCACTTTCACAAATACAGAAAAAACTCTTTCTTGGCAATCCCTGGAGCTCCTTGGGGTCGGGCCGATTATGTCCACGAGTTGCTCGATGTTGCTCAAACCATTGTTTCGTAGCATGATCGATGCCTCGACAGTTTCTTCCAAAGCTGTATCTTGCTGCTTTGAAAACGCTTCCTCGAATAGACTAAACACAAGTCCAGCTGAGGCGAAATTTTGAATGGTCAAATCGCTCCTCCGCCATTTTAATTGCGCAACTTCATCCCCAGGGTCCTCTGTCTATTTTCTCGAGGTAGAGAGAGGACCCTGGAGCGAGATTGAGACAGCCGCTGGCTTAAGAAGATCGCCCTGGCTTAAGCCACAGGCCCACCAAGCTCCTGCGAAACACATTTTGTAGAAAAAAGTAAACGGTAATAAATCAATGAAAACACATGAAAACTGATCCCATTTTAAGAAATAGCTTAAAATTGTTTAAAATTCAAAAAGTTGACGGTAAGAAAACACGCTGTTCGTAAATATGGGAGGTTGCCAAAATGTTGCGGAGAAACTTACCGGGGCAACTTGTGGACGTCTCTAGATCTGGAGGCATAAAACGAATCAGGCAGGTGAATCGACTGACTACAAAATGTTCCGCACGCGTTTGCAAAAATTACACACAAATGATGCAAGGTACCGCAAACGAAACAAAAAAAAATTGAAGTAAAAACTAACGGTAAAAGCGCGCGACGTTTCGACCGAGCTTCGGTCATTATCAATCTTAAAAGTGAAGATAACTGCGAAGTGAATTATTATCAAGCTTAGAGTCATTATCAAGCTTAAAAGTGAAGATTACTAAATTAAGGCTGTTTTGCAGTCTGCAGCCGGTATCAATTGGATACCTGTTCGTGATCATAGGCTATATTCTCCGCTCACAGTTCGAATATTGACCTCTACATGATCAGTAGTATCAACTAGTTTAAACTTCCTGAATGTCTCAAAGTAGTTTCAGTTGGCAGGTCAGTTTAACGAACAGAACAATAAATTAGAAAATGTCCATCGTAGCAAGGGTGACGCACGTACGTGTCTGAGTAACTCCGGAAATCAGGAAAAACATATATTGGACAGTCTCCCGTCTCTTCTATCATCAATTATCCTAAAGGTTGACATATAAACAATATAAGTCACTAAATACTAAACTGTTTTACCATGTTTTGATGCATGAAACCCTCCCCCCTGGAAAACGTGGAATGGCATTTCTGAGTCCCTAAAATTGAAACTTTCCTGGGAGGCGGCGGGGCCGGGGGGCATGTCCCCAAACCTCACTGTAGGCTCGCAGCTTCAGCACTCGATCAATCTCGTTCCTAGAGTCTTCGTTCCCCTTAACAAGCGGTCAAACAACGAGAGCTCTGGGGGCAACCATTTTGAAATAACCGAATTCTGCCCATCCGGTTTCACTGCGCAGCCTGCATCTATGGCGTGCGCCTGAAATGGTTGCTCCCAGAGCTCTCGTTTTCCGACCGCTGGTCAAGGGGAACGAAGACTCTGGGAACGAGATTGGCACTCGATTGACTTTTCTCTTCGGTGCGCGTGCGTAGTCCATAAAAATATGCACGCTACACAACAAAGGGGAGATTAATCCTCCGTGGGAAAATAGATGGCGACTGGTACATTTACCCACAGTTCTTAACGCACGAAACTCTTAACAACGTTCATAAAAACATACAGAAACGTTATAAAATCTTCAAACTTAGGCAACTTAATGTCCTTGGAACAGGGACGAATATTGTTAAAAAAAAGAAAGGCTTTCTTTGTGCCTTATAGGCTGTGTTAGGCTCGCAGTGCATTGTGGTAAAATGTGCAGCCGCCATGTTTTTTCCTTCGGTGGATTGTGATCACGTTTCACGCGCGGATTTTAACACAGTTCACGTGTCACGTATACTTTTGCCTACTTTTAATAATTAATGCTTTTCTTTCGTAAATTCCCGAATCACTTATCTCTTTAAGTTGCTTTTCACATGTCACACATTAATTTTTGCCCTTATCACGTATCACGCATCTCGGTAATATTTCTTATTCCTTGATCTGAAAAGACAACATCAATTCTGGAGCATCTCTGCTGAGCAAAAACGTTGAAAGAGCCATCAGGGATGTGAAATAGGTGCCAAAATTAGAAACATGGGAAAGAACGCCATGTCAGTTTTGAGACAACTAATTGCTTTATAAGTGTGATGGTGTCAGAAGATTGAAAAAAAATTCAGATTTTCAATCCTGCGAAAAGAAAAAACTGAGCTGCAGCACATGTCAGAACTGAAAGCTTTTTCGGTCCGCCAAGCGACTTTTTCCACACACACACAAGTTACTTTTCAAACATTCTCACTTCCCGGATAAAAGTTTCCCCAAAAACGGAACGAGCTAAAAGAAAAAAATTACCCAGCTGTCAAGGTCGCAATCAAACGTCTCCGACTAACTTCATGTAAAAGCTATGTAAATAAAATATGTCTTTTATAGCACGCCAATCAAAGATTGGTTTGGAGCTGGGGTGATAAATATCGAGTCACTTAAATGCGCAGTTATTATTTTCAATAGAACTTGAGACGACTAAATTGTACTCAAGAGAGATAAAAACAATTTAGGCGCAGTAGAGAAAAAGTAAACATTTATAACGCAACCTAGAGCTCGTTGTCCTGTCAAGCTGCTATTTTTATACAAACATTTTCGCCAATTACCATTATGATGTTATCTTACAATATGCCTGAAGGGAAAAAAATATTTGCAAGCTAAAGGAAACACTATCCAAAACATCGCTATTATGCGTTTTAACTTTTTGTAACACGAATTAAAAAATCAAAAATTTGCACAAAGTTTGCAGTTCAGTTATACTTAGTTAAATCTTCCCAAACGAAAGTAAGTTTTCGACGGACAAAATTTAGGGTGCCTGAAGCAAGCTTTGCCCGAGTCATTAATCTCGCCCCCTTGTTAAAAATAGCCACTAAAATGTTAAATGAAGAAACGCACTGAAAAATTGACTGTGCAAGGAAGATACTCTTGTAATACGCTTTAATAATTGTGAGATACTCTGGAAACCGTCCGGTGACGAAGACGCATGAGTTGTCACATAGCTATAAAACGCGCTAAAAGATCTGATATCGAGACCGGCTGGTATACTTCTTCGCCGTGCAGTAAGTCCATGAATCGAGACTCAGAACGCCCACGGTTATGTAAATTTCTAATCGGCGTGAAGTTGCAGTTTTTTCCTGTGAAAATTGCTAATTTCCTTTTAGCATGGAATCGTGTTTACGAAATAACGCCATTACAGGCGGCTGAAAAACAAACAAGTCTTTAGTCTGCGTAATATTCCTTTTCATTGGGATGACTAGAAGTTTCGTGAAAATCTAAATCCTGCAGTGAACAGAGATCGGAAAAGAGAACCGCTTAAGATGATTTAAATTATAAAAGGTTCTTTCATTTCAGCAAAGATGTTAATTGCAATTAGTCCAAGGGGACTTTTTCTCTTGTTTTGGACATGATTTAAAGGTGAAGATTTGCAACTTTCATGAAAGGATTAATGAGACAGAAAACTTGATCCAATGGGTACTTTAACAAATAAATTGAGAACTTTATCGAGTGCAAAAAAGCGCGCGTGTCACAATGCAATTGGAAGAAAGCTCACGTCGATAAAAATACAAACAAGTTAAAAGCGAGAAGAAGTGACAGGTCTTTGTCAAGCTGCATAATTTGAGTCGGTTTACACCTGCAGATGCGAGGCCAGGGCCTTATTTACAGAATTAAGACTGTAAGACTAACACATATGACACGCTTTAGCATATGTCTTCTTAACGAAAAGGATATAATTAAAATTCACCCAAAATGAAAGTTAACATTGTAGTTGAGACACAATTGGGCCTCTGGTAACTTAATAGGGTTGAGTTTTCATTTATGTTTTCGTTCACAGCTTTTAGCTCATATTATTAAAACCTACTCGTTCCCTGTCACGATTCGCTTTAAATATTGTTTCCTTCTTTCGGACATAAAAGGGACATTAATGGTTAAAGAAGACTGCTTTTAGTAAGCGGCTGTTGTCAATGGTCTTTTCTCATTGGTAGTTTCATTTACATCCGGCTGCAATTGGCCAAGTAAAAACATTCACACCGAAAATAGGGCTCACGGGCTAATTTATGCAGTGCGACTATCCGTTGTTTTGCCGACGTCAAATTTAATACTTTTTCCGTCAATTGCGCTCTTTCCGGTCTCAAAACATCATTTACGGATTAAAACTGGAGATGGCCGGCTATTTCTTCGCGATGTTTGAGTTGTAGAAACCATACAACGACTTTTCTACCAGGCCAACTTCAATAGTGTCCCTGGTTTAGCGACTGAAACGCTGTTTACAAACTTAACCTTTTTCTCGCGGTTTAAATTGCGCTTTGGAACACTCTTCATGGCGTTCGCGTTTGGAGATTCATATTTGAAACTTCCACCAATAAGCAAAGAAGGAACAGTCGAACTCGATGGCGAAAATTCGAAGAGAGGATCAGGCATTGTTCGTGATAAACACGGCCTGGTGAGGCTGCCTCCGATAGTTCGTTTGGACTCGCTTCGTTCGGCTTCAAGTGCGTCAAGGTTACGAAGCGAAACCCAAACTGCAACAGAAGCTGATAGTGAATCCGATCTGTCAACTTTAATAACACCTTCGAAAATCTCGCACAAAATGGAGAGTTTAAGGCACAGAAACTCAACCAAATTCAAAAAATATACCGCGAAGCGTGAAGATGAAACGAAATTAATTAAGGACCTGGCTGTTAAGGAAACGAACGAAGACGAAGCACGCTTTTTTGACGGCGAAGAAGCGTCGCATGGAAAGCAGAAGAATCGGTTTCGTTTGGGGTCTAACACGCCGTTAGACAAGTCCACCGATGATGAAGATTTAATGCCTCCTTACAAAGAGTCCGTGATGCGCCGTAGAGGCAGCAGCACATTTCAAACTTTGGGTAAATTAACGAGATCACACAGGTTAGCAAAATCTTCACCTGAATTATCTAATAGAAAGATCAATTTGCGACGTCGTCCAGAAAGCACCTTGTCATCGCTAACCGCGGGGCTAAGATCGACAAGCCGTTCCCGCTTATCACAACCACGACTTTCAGTTCACGATATCGACGGCTCAACGTTATCTCATCTTCAAGACACTTCAAAGACCGAGGAAAAACAGAAAGAACACGAAAAGCAACGGCGCCGCAACAATCACAGGTGGGCAAATGATAGTGCTAACCAGCCTCGAAGCACCCCTAGCTCGCCTGTTTGCAGTG